ATAAAGCATGATTTCAGTACATGTACAACCAAAACAGATGAACTTCGAAAGTACTGAAAGTTCTTTATTACCCTGAAAACGACAACATTTTAGAATCAGTGAATCACTGGGCATTCGTTTTCAGTTTCTTACACGAAGTAATCTCTCCCTCCAAGATCCCCAGGTATCCATATACTTAGTCTATATGCACTTATAGCGTGGGCCGATGAGAGATGAACTTCAACTAAAGATCGATAGAATGTCGGCTGGTCAGAAATTTTGTGCAGTTCATGCCATTAATGTTGAGCTGACAGAGGGAAACGGAAATACATATGAAAGAAACCCTGTCCCAATGCTACATTGTTCACCACAAATCCCACATTTGGATTTAACTCCGTGCAAAGAAGTTACCTGTTGACAGCACAACACGTGTGGATTGATCCTTGCGGATTTTAAAAGCCTTCGCTGTTTTGTATATTTTAAGGCGACGTGTAATTTTCGTTATTTGGTAGAAGCACTCAGTCACCAGTAACTGTTCACAGATGAGAAATCACGCCAAATAAATTCAGATCGAACGGGCCAGTGCGTAGCATGTATAAGCTTAATTACACTGAAAGACACGTGACTAATTGAGCGGCGTATAGCATTATAAGTTTCATTATTAATTCGTCAATTTGTGATCCATTAATTTCTAGTAAATTATTGTAACTTAGGATATATTATGTGTAGTGGTAACTTTTTTCATCTGAAAAAGAACACAAAAATGAAACCTCTTCGGATGGCTCTACGAGGACGTGCCTTCTGCACAGTGATGCTACTTATGTAAGATTAAGAGCCTTTGTTTTGTTTTGCCAAGTTGGTCGCAGTTTGTTATTGGCGGCAAGGCATTGAGTATGGATACAGGAAAGTGATCACATGAATACACCACTGTAAGAACCGTACCCGCTTGCTACCTTTAAACCGTTGCACGCCAGTTTTGCAGAGTATAGCATGCGTTTTTGCACGAAGTAACTAAAGTGAATGTGTAATAGGAATATAATGTCTGTTTACTCGTGTTTTGTAATACACCTTTTTGACAAGCATCCGCATTGAATATTTCTAGCTGAATTTTGTTTTGGTAGGCCATCTGTTTAAACTTCAGTTGGACTTTCGCAGTTTTCTCAGAAATGGTTAACAGTGGCGCATAACGCAAGATACAGACCTATAACTTATTTAAGAGATCCATTAACTTTTACGTGAGATATTTTTGGACACCTTGTATATTAAACGAAATACAAGATAAAATTGACTGTCTGTAGTATGTAGAAAGATGAACTTTGCAGCTATTCGATAGTTTCGGATATAAATATTTATTTTCACAAAATTCCTGTATTTTTAGTTCATATGTTATGGCCAGGCTGTTGTAATTGGTAGTTTCTTTAATTCGCTTAGTGGGGGCTGGAATCCAACTTGGTCCACTCGGCACGGCGTCCACTGATTGGCCTATTGTAGCTTGCCACGGGTGATTATGATGATGGAGAATTTGGTGGAATGAAGATTGGCAGGGGAAACCGAAGTACTTGGAGAAAACCTGCCCCAGCGCCACTCTGTCCACCACAAATCCCATTTGACCAGACCTGGGATCGAACCCGGACCGCCGCGGTGGGAAGCCAGCGACTAACCGCTTGAGCTACGTAGCAAAATCAAAAGTGAAAATGTGCCCTTCTTTCCGAATATGTTCTTTGCGAGTTTGCATTCATCTGTATTGTTAATGTTAATTTTCTGCGATTTTGTTTTGTTTTATGTTTATGTTTTGTTTTCGTTTTATGCTTCTGGTGCTGAACCATCGTGACACAAATGTGTCCTGAAAGTTTACTAATGCGATAATGATGCTATCACATGATTTTGAAAGGAATATGAGAGGAAACTGGAAGCCGCCATTGAAAACTACGTTGGTGTTAAGTGTATCGTAATGCAACAAAGACTGGAAACCTCTTTTTGCCCAGAAGACCAGTAAATTCACTGTCATTTAATGGGATAAGTGCAGTTGACTGGGCATAGCTGTTATATGCATAGGTTTGTTGTGCACGTATCAGTCCCTGAAAATGACCAGTTTTATACTCTTGGAGATGAAGAATGATGACATCCATCTGTGGTTATAATTTATTTAAAATCCATCCAGCCATTATGTTTTTAATCTACACAAGGTACGACCTTCGTATTTTNGAATATGAGAGGAAACTGGAAGCCGCCATTGAAAACTACGTTGGTGTTAAGTGTATCGTAATGCAACAAAGACTGGAAACCTCTTTTTGCCCAGAAGACCAGTAAATTCACTGTCATTTAATGGGATAAGTGCAGTTGACTGGGCATAGCTGTTATATGCATAGGTTTGTTGTGCACGTATCAGTCCCTGAAAATGACCAGTTTTATACTCTTGGAGATGAAGAATGATGACGTCCATCTGTGGTTATAATTTATTTAAAATCCATCCAGCCATTATCTTTTTAATCTACACAAGGTACGACCTTCGTATTTTGCTTTTGCTTTACTAACTCAGTATAAATAATTCAATCAAATTTGAAGATGATTATGAAGTTGTAGGTTACATTACTTTTGAGGTGCCCTGTAGAACAGTTGATTTGCTTTCAAGCGAACCACTCTCTTTTGCCTGTTGACGTGCCACGTCAGAAGACGTTACAATTGTAATTAACTAAATTAATTTGAATGTCAGATTAAGCGATTAACATGCCAGCTCGCTTAGTAAAGGCCGCCGCTGAGGATTGAAGTGGATGTGTACGTTCCTGAATCCCTTCTAATGCCTTTATGTTGTTCCACTGCGTCCCTGTTCATTGGCTGCTGGACCTGTTGTGTACCGCCTTCGGTGAGAAGTGTGTATGCACATTCCCGGTGCCATACTGGGAATTTTGCTTATACTTCACACGCCACGTATTACTCAGAATCTTAAGATTCTATAAGTCGTTATTAAGCTTAGAAAGAAGCAAAGGACTAAAGACATGTGGTAACACTTGGTCGTGATTATTGCTTGAGTTTTCAAAGTAGAGAAAAACGCAAGAACCTCTAGCAGACGTTATAAGGTGTTAAGAATATGTTAATTTGTCGTCACTAGAATGTAGGCAAAATTTGTAGTATAACGGTAATTAATAAACACCTTTAAAATGTTGTAAATTTCAGGTATTTAGGAATGCCATTGACAAACGAAAATGCATTCACGAAGAAATTAAGAGAACAGTTTCAGTTCGGGAAATGCTTACTGCCATTCAGTTAAGGAAATGTCTCAATAGCTTGTCAGTTAATAAACTTTAATCATCCCACGCCTTCTCTTAAAACCTAAAATTAAAATATAGAGAACTGTAGTTTGAGATTGGCTGGATATGTAACTCGCATGTATATATAGGACACGCATACAAAATTTCAACCTATAAACCTGAAAGGCTGAACCCAGTTGGGGTGACCTTGGTGTAGATGACATCTCAGAGAAGTAGGGTTTGAGAGTGTGAGTTGGGTTCAGCTATCTCAGGATAGGGACGCATGGTGGACATTTGTAAACAAGGTGATGACCAGGGCCCGGGTTTTGATGACCTGAGAAGTTCAAAAAATGACCTAAAGGAGAAAAGAAATAACATTTCGCTTCCATGTTATTCACAATTTAGAAAACATATGAAGAAAAATTCCCTAAAATGGCCAAAAATTACAAGAAATACCATTAAAAGTCAAAAAATTTACCCTAAAAATGAAAAAATGACCTTGAACCTAAAAATGACAAAAAAGTACCTATAAAATTTACATTTCTGTAACCAGCAGCTCATATCCGAGATTTATATATTTAAGAGCATCGCATAGGATACAAGGAAAAAAAGATGACATGTCATCAAAATCCGGGCCCTGGTGATGACCCTTCGAGTTTCATAAACGTCGCAAGATTTCTTAGCCAGAGGAGGCACTGATAGAATCTGTTCCATTAACAGTGTTTCTATCGAACGGTGCTTTGTAGGAGTAACTCGGCCGGAAACTGACTGACCTGACAAGTGTCTAGTCTCTTCGGAACTACCTACACATACACTCACGCAATTCAGCACTGTTATTCACTTTCTTGGAGCCAAAAATTCCATTTTGAAGGTTTAAAACCCCTATCTTTATTGCATACATCTTGTTGTGTAACTCTGTGTCATCACAGAATAATTGCACCGCAGACAGAAATATAGAGAATATGTAGGAATTGTAGTATCACTTGCACGCGAGTAATCAGCCACATAACATGTAAGTAATCACCTATACCATACTACATAATTACGCATAGCTCACAACCGGACTATATGAACACACCTTCTGTATATTTTCAGATATGTAACTGACTAAAACAACGCCGAATCCAAGACACAAAATTACCCTCTACTCTATAATTTACCAAGGGCATTCGCTTTACTTGAATAATAATTCCTATGTGATGTAATTAATGATCAATTAAAAATAAATTACTCATTTTTCTATCAAAATTGATATAAAAATGAATAACCCCTAGGACTAATATTACAACATTAATTTAGTAACAAGACATGATAAAGAAATTGTTAACGATATTTATATCAATACAGGTACTAATATGGATCCAAAAACAAGAGATATCATGAAAACTGCCTGATGATGATCCAGTTGGATCGAAACATGTAGTAGATACAGAATAATAAACAAATGTTAATACACTAATACTGGTTTATTTATTTACAGTTTTGTTGTGTTGACGACCACATAATAATAATAATAATAATCATGTTTTTTCTGAATCCTGTATTCGAGCTTCTCATTTCACCCATGTGTACTGCACGTATATGGAAAGCACAATAGACTATTTTAGGTCGCGGTGCAAGGGCCGAGAAGGCCCACCCCTTATACATTCATACATTCATTGCACGTGTATCCTACGCTATGTTTTGCTTCGATCCCGCTGTCAGTGCGTTGACGTTGGTGCTGTATGATGTGTATTGCCTGTAGCCGTTGCTAAGGAGGTGCAATTGTTGCAGGCTGAACGAGACGGTCTCAGTCGGGCGCGCCAGGAGCTAGAGCGGAAGTTGGAGACAAAGGACCTAGAGTTGCATGAAAAGGAAGAGGAATTATTCCTACAGTTGGAGAAGGTGGTACGTCTTGAAGAGGACTTCGAAAAGGTAAGTACTGGCTTTTCTCTTTATATATTTTTCCCCCGCATTTCCTATTTATTTAATCTCCGTTTGGTCCACGTCATTTCTTAGCGCCTCTTTTTAAAATGATGGTAATTTTTGTTCTTCGCTCGAACTCGAGTCTCTATCAGAACATTACGTGACAAATGACGAAATGCTTTTTATGTGTCTTCATCTTTAAATTATGAAATTACGCGGGACAAATGTTATCGATATCTTTGTGAGATAGTAAGGCCAGATCTATTTTTTTATTTCTTAATTAATATTACTCGTACTTTGGTTTTGTTTATACATGCTTGGTTTCATAGCTTCGAATGGGTATTATTTTAAGTTATAACTTGCGAATACTGAAGAAGGAGGCGATTCTAGCCTCTTCATATTAATATGCCAGTCCATCTACGTAAATCTGTGGATGGGCTGAAGAAGAGTGCCACGAAATGTCTCAACGAATATAGCCATTCTGCAGACAAAGAGTCGAATCCACGCCGTCCTTGATACATAGCAGAAATGCAGCGTTTCATATCTAATGCCTCTGAATAGTACCTGGGTCCCTATGAAAGTTGGTTCGATTCCACTCGCTGCCCTTAGTATCATGGGAATCGTTGCCTGGAGCAAGCAGAAGGCATCAGTTGGTGCCTGAGGGCTGGCTTTCGGTTTCAGGGTTGTGCATTGTTTAGATGGGTGGCGAGCCGGCAGCGGGCTGCGTGTGTGTATCGATTGTGATTCCCAGTTGCTCGCGAGATGCTGGTGACCCAGAACGGGGCGCGTGGAAGTGCCCGTTTTCCACTTTTGACCTTATCTAAGACCTGCCTCATGCAGATTATCGCAGCATCTCGAAGTTAGAGCAGGCCACGGAACACAAGAAGTGACGGGGCGTCTGTTTTTCAAAGAGATCAGTCCCTCATCTCGAGGAAGGCGCCATCTAATGTTGCTGTTTTGCCATGGAAGACGCGTAACAAAATATAAATAAATAAAGATATTCTCTTCCTGTGTTATGTTAACACGTAAACAGACGAACCTGAGGGGAACTGAAACAAAGCCATCGTGTTGTACTTTTAAGTTGGTTTCACTTCCCAGAACATGTCTGCCAAGTCTCACACTGGACTGCACAAAGTTCATGTCTAGGTGAATGGACTGCTGCTTGGCAAACAGTCAAGTTTTATGGCATTTTGATTTACATGGCAGTTCGATAAAGATTGGGACGTTTTGAAGATAACTCGACAGTTTACGTCAGTTATCGTTCTAAATATTGTTTTGCCAAGTAACCTTAAATTTCGCGATGAAATTGTTCATTCGCATTTTAATTACGATGCGCTCTCAACTAATTACCGAACAGATGGTCTCATGCATACGTCAGGCCCTTTTAAACACTATATATCAGTGTTATTGCGTACAATTTGCAGCCCAAAACCAGGAAAGAGAAGGGCGTCTCAGTTCGCGTGGGAGAGAGAGAGGGAGAAACTCGGATGTCAAAGGGCAGACGTTTGTCTGTTGATCTACAGGATGGTTAAGACGGACGCACGGTATGGGGGAGTGGGTGTACAGATCCACATTTGCTTGACCTCGGCACTAGTTGGAGGTGAGTGGTCAGCTTCACGCCCCTGCCGCTTTACCCCCGGGGAAAGAGCCCCCGGTACCCATTGGATAGGAGGTTGGGTGGATCCCAGAACAAGTCTGGACGATTTGAAGAAGAAATTCGTGCCCCTACCGGGACTCGAACTCCGGCCCCTCGGTCGTCCAGCCCGTAGCCAGTCGCTGTACCGACTGCACCATCCCGGCTATTACATAGGAAGTGTGTTAATTATAATAACTCTATTAGTTGTTAGCATTTTAAATCAGTACGTAATTCCTAGTTATCAAAGTTGTGGTGGAGAAATCAGCTGATTTCTGGGACGTTATTCACCTTCTTTACAATGACACAAATGGAAAGGTGTAGTCCATTAGAAAACATGTACGATATGTTCCCAGTGCGTTCCTTGCGAGTTTGCATACACCGTTGACCTCAATATTAATTTTGTGCGGAATCGAAACTCTTATTGTCTATACGTATCTAATATGGGAAGAGCTAGTCGCCACAAATGTCAGAGAATAGCTCCAGAAATGGCTTCTCCTTCTCTTGTGTTAAATGTAACTTGCGCCATATAAAAACGTTACAAGTAAAGGTTGTGAGTGTCAGCGTTGTCTATATTTTATGACATGGACCAGGGCTTGGTAGGGTGAGCTTGTCAAGTAAGTGCTCGACCTGAGTGAATAAAAATTGAATTAACTGGATTTAAGGTCCTCACAGTTGTGATTATGATGAATTTTGTCTTCTGGGATATAACGCTTTTGGGTCCGATGGAAGTAAATCAACGTTTCTGAAGAAAATATCNATGGACCAGGGCTTGGTAGGGTGAGCTTGTCAAGTAAGTGCTCGACCTGAGTGAATAAAAATTGAATTAACTGGATTTAAGCTCTGGTTTCTTGCTTGGCTTATATCTCGACACTGAAGATAGAGGCCGTATGGTCCTCCGAAACATCTGTTTACTTTCACCGGGCTGCACGACGTTATATCCCAGAAGATAGAACTCAAAAATTAAATTCGCTGTGCTAGATCCCCGCTCCCTCCAAATATTAAATTGCACATATAACTATTCTGTAGTGTTGGAGATTAATATGCAGATTGGCGAGAGGTGCAACGTCCCCATTACGCGTTCATTTTTGTGCACATCGTTGAAATAACAGAATTATCTTGATTAACGCTGTGTGTGCATGCATTCCTTCTTACTTACGTAAAGTCTAGTTTCAGTTGGTACCGTCTGTGGGTGTGGAACTTGCTCCTACTGTGGGAAGACCGTGCACTAAGGGTAAGGGGTACTGAAAACTAAGTACTAAGGAGAGTTTACAAACCTAAGAGAGAGGAAGTAACAGCAGAATGGAGGAAATCACATTCTAAGGAGCATCATAATTTCCTCTCTTTGCAGAACGTATTAAGGTTACCAAATTAAGGAGAATGGGATAGGTGGGAGTTGTATTACGCATGGGGGGGGGGAGAGGAAAACTGAAGAAGGAGACCACTTTGGAGCCCCTGACGGTATAGACGCGAGATAGTATTAAGGTGCATATGAAAGAAATGAGGTGTGTAGGTTGTGGACTGGATCCATATGGTACAGGATGAGATTTAGTGGCTGGCTGTTATGGCCACGGTAATGAACCTTCGGGCTCCATGAACGGCAGAACATTGACCACTTGAGCACGCATCAGGTTTCCAAGGACTCAATACAATTAATGTAAACCCAGCATAACGAAGAACTGGAAATATTGGTGATGTTACATGCTTTTTAATTACACATTTTCTCCATTAGTTCCCGCTCCGTCGCCTGATACGCTGTTCACCTGTTTTAAGACGTCTTACGATTTTCTGAAGGCCCATTTTGAAGCCCGCTGTGCTAAGGACATAGTCTCACCGTGTTATTTATATAAACAAATGTTTATACTGAGTTTACTGTGTAATTCTGGCCTTGGTGGTTTATTTGTTTTCGGTGCGTAAGGCCTTTAACGTAAGGACGTCGAACGCGATAGATTTCAGTCCAAACGAACAAGAGACCTATCACTTCTAATTTCGCTATTTAGAATAAGTACAAATGCAAGTGTCCCACTGTCCTTGGACACGCTTTGTTTGGTTCACATGAAAGGTTCCATGATACCACGTCTGCCTGTGTGTTTGTCTACCCGTCTCCCTAACTTCGTTTGGACCGACTTATCGATTACCATGGAAGTTTTATAAGAACGTCACGATAGTGGAATATTTGGTAAAGATTTGCTACAGTTGTTTGAGTACAGCTCAGTTATGTTTCATATTGTCTGATGTCTGAAGTAAGGTCTGCATTTCTTGGATCCTCGGTACGAAACATCATTATGAAAGTCGTAAGTTGACTAAAGACCTTTATGCCAATATCATCCCGTTATCTGTGTTTTAGCGCTTAAGAAACAAGTGGTGACTCTATGTACCAACTGATTTAGCATCAACAAAACCTCTTCATTTTGACCACACATTCTATTTACGGGTTTCCTTTGATTGCCAGCATAAACAGCGATCATTTCCTGAGAGAGTTTTTTCTCTCTGGAATGAGGACGTTTGTGTTCTTGTGAGGTAGGATCTGAATACATTTCAGCCTTCGAAACATTAATGTCTAGATACCGTGCTTCTAGATAATTTTAGAAGAGGTAGACATACGTTAGTGCCATTCGAAAGAGAGCAGAGAATGTGTGTAAAGTCGAGATTGCTGGAATTTAAGTAATCATTTTTCACCGAGCACTGACAACTATACACAACGTTTCAGGAAGTTGGCTGTATTCATTCTATTCCTGGCGTTAGTGGCTGCAGTGGCTGTTGTCTTCTGCTTGGTATACACGATTAGGGTTTGGTCCCCACCACAGCTACTAATGCTGAAAGTAAAATTAAAACAGAACTCGTCTGTCTGTATAATTACAACCAGTCATCTGAAGAAGCAAGTAGAGCCCACTGTCACGTATATTGAATATGCTTGGTTGCAGTTCTGAAAACATTCCAGTTTTTTTAGTAGATAGATTAGTGAGGATGAGGTGGGCAGGTCATGTAGCACGAATGGGGGAGACGAGGAATGTGTATAGGATATTGGTGGGAAAGCCAGAAGGAAAGAGACCACAGGGAAGACCAAGGCGTAGGTGGGTGGACAATATTAGAATGGATCTTAGAGAGATAGGATGGGATGTTATGGATTGGATACATCTGGCTCAGGATAGGGACCAGTGGAGGGCTCTTGTGAACACGGTGATGAACCTTCGGGTTCCATAAAATGCTGGGAAATTCTTGAGTAGCTGAAGAATTGGCGGCTCCTGAAGAAGGGCTCAGCTCCATGAGTAAGTAAGTAAGATTAGGGATCTCTGTCCAGCCGTACAGTATAGTATAGTATAGTTTCTAAACAGGTGGCTGTGTTCAGAGTATAGGAAGGCTCGTGATACTTCCC